ATTCCACAGTAAGAATTAATCTTGTACTACATTAGGATGCGTTTTGGCCCCACTTTCCCGTAAATACGCACTTGAAATGTTTGCCTTTATATAGTAACAAGATATAATTTTTGTCCTCAAGAATAAAAATAAGAGTTGCGTTAGACAATCTGGTTTAAGGTTTTTAATGGGCGGCCGTGTCCGACTATAATATTCTTACTTGTTTGATGAAGTGAAACGCAATTGAAATGCAAGACAACTACAGTGTCTTTTATTAATTTTGCAGCTCAGTAAAAGTACACTTTTCCGAAATCGTCTCCATAGTAGATTTTTGTAATTTCCAATTGCAATTTCTATCGCTATTAATCCTAAGATCAGCCGTTACTTAAAGTTCAGATAAACTTCAAATTTGCTTTCATTTCATGTCTTCCTCCATAGTATTATGCTTATATTATGCACATATCAAAATCTTTAAGAAATAGATATTAAGCTTAAAACAGATAAGAATATTATAATCGAGCAAAGCCGATCATTAGATGCCCTACATCACTTGTTTTCATAATACAATATCAAAAATCACAAAATATTTTCATACAAAGGCATTCTTTTCAAGATAGCGCGTATATTGCCTGGAGATGCCTAATAAAATCCCACAGCGTGATCGAAATTGATCAAAATTTTAATATTTTTCAGTTTCCCCTACAAAAAATTCGAATTTAAACTTTTCATCATAAAATAAAAAAAATAAATCTTTTTGTTAAGAGCTTATTATTCTTAAGAAATCTTATATCGAATGGGGTCCAAGAAATTGACCCATATGATTTTAATTTTATGTCCAAGTACTTTTTTCTTCATAAAGTATTAAAAATTCGGTCTTTAAAGCATATAAGAGTTTATATTTCCTGAGTTTCCCTATATGGAAAAAATAGACCTATGTGGTCCAAATTCAGAAAAGTTGATTTGTTTGTAAATTTATAACTGTGAACCAATTTTCACGAAAAAATATCAAAAATTACACGTCCTTACCATATAAAGATTTAGTTTTCATAGGAACTGTTGTATGAGAAGAGGCTCAAAAAAATTGTCCCCGCCAAGTCAAATTTTTGACGCCAACTTAGAATATCCAAGCACTACTACTGAGTGAGCTTTGTCGAAAATTTTGAAAATTGAAATTTTTTCAATTTTCGAACTTTTTAAATAGCGCGTTTTATGGGGAGTGGTCGTCGAAAAGGTGGACCGATCCGAACCATTCCCAACAGCGTCCATCTTTGAATCAAAACTCGGCAGTATACTAAATGTCATCATTATATCGCAAGATATGAGACTTATATGTTGAATAATTTACATGGACAGACAGCAGAGGGACAGACAAGATTTAGAAAATGATTTTGAATCGATCGCTGTGATAAAAGGTGGGCCCAGCCTAAGCCTTCTCGCTTGTTACCTACGTCCGCACAAACTTAATGCACCGTGCACTACAAACCTACAACCGATATCGGCCATTAAAAAGTCATAACCAGTTTTTTATAAAACAAGTGTTTTTTTCAAGGCAATGGTCGAAATGTTTGTTTCAAATTAATGACTGTAGCTAACTCCGTATTTTTCAAGCCTTTTTGACTGAGAATATTGATTACGAACTGTGTTTGTTATTTTGTTTTTTTTTCTGAAACTACTAGGTATGTATATATGAAACTGTACATTGGGCATAAAAAATACACATTAATTGTACGAGTATGATAAAAAACATATTATATTCGAAGTATTGATCATCGCTAGCTAAACATTTTTTCCACTCGGTTGGCAAATTTGTGGGAAACATGCGAAAAAATGCTGCTCTTCTGCAGCAAACCAGTAATCAAACCATTTTTGTGAGTAGTAAAGTGTTACTCAGCAAAGGCGTGTCCCATTAAAGACAATAAGCAGTAAACGCCCAAATCTGTTGAGTAAGCGGTAAAGGCTAACACTTCTCGGTTTAGTGCATCCATCCAACAAAAACTTATTTTACCCTATGGATGGACGGACGGATGATCATCTAAATAATTAATTTTGCTACCTTTTCTTGACATTTCTCGCCTCTTTTTTTTTTTGAACGGCAAACCATTGAAATCGTTTAATGGTCGTTGATATCCTCTGTTATTAAACAATTTCCTAGACCTTGACAAGTGATAAGAGACAAAACTCTTCAAATAGAGAATATTGTCTTCTTGACAAAGCCAATTAATCTCGCAGTCAAGCTATCCATGAATTTTTACCAGGGATACTCAAAATGGATCGACTTTTCATCCCCCCGTAGGGTAAAAAGCGAAAAACTACTTCTTCTGTATCTTTCCGACTAAGAAAATCTGATTTTGTCGAATGCTCTTTATTTGGCACACAAGTCATATTCGTATTCCGATCGCTTACTGTGATCAGCATCCAAGCTATAAAATAAGAACCAAGCTACAGATATGTACGTTCTCTATATGTGAACTTAGGGCCTTGTGTATGCAAATTCCGGTTTCATATTTACATATTTAGTAGATTTATTCAATAGTTTGTATACAAATTACTTTAACTTACGCAAACCTTAAAGATAGCATCATCACAGGTAGAAATGAGAGTTTTACAAATGTTCTCAGGCAAAGCAAGGTTCGTCTCTTGCAGAAACCGGCAACTATTCGCTTTGTATAACCTGTAGCTCGTATAGTTTTAATTAACATCTGATCTTTATAGCCCGTTATTTTTTTTGTTTGTTAAATATTCTAAAGTTCAGTTTATTGAGTTCCCATTTAATGTTTTTATAACCTGCTAATGCATTAAGTAGACGAATAAACCAAACAGTTAAAGGAATTTTTTAATTTACACAACACTTTGCCCCGCATCTTTTAGCCCTTAGCAAGTCGACGAGAAAATAAATAAAAATTAATGCTTATATATATATATATGTATGTATAGATGTATGACAAAAATTGTAATCATCTGCAATTGTAGAAGCCATTGCTGAAATAACTGGCGCACCCGATATACATATTGACGAAGGTTCAACTCTACGACTGGATTGTAAACTGAAACGAGCAACGGAAAGTCCAGCTTTTGTTTTCTGGTAAGTGTAACAATTACGTAATTAGCGATTAGCGATATTTCACTACTATTGAAATGCTACTAATTGATTTTTTAGGTATCACGACAGCAAAATGGTGAATTATGATGCTCAAGATGGATTTTTCGTGAAATCAAACCTTTTAAAGGAGCCACCAATTTTGGATAGCAATGTGGGGAAAACTGATGAAGTATTCATTAGGGCACTTAATAAATCAATATCACAATCTCAGTCTTCACGAATGCCGCCACCAACGGGATTTTTACTGCCAACATCCATAAGTACTTTGATAATCCAGAAGGTGCATTTTCATCATGCGGGAAATTATACATGCGCTCCCTCAAATGCTAGATCGGCTAGTATTTCAGTCCACGTATTACAAGGTGCGTTTCAAATACATTTTAACGAGATTTTCGTTCGTTATGCTATATCGGCCTTAGCATTAATTTTATTAATTCGTTTAAGATTCCTTCAACGGATTACATATTATGCTGAAATTCTTTTCATATTCGTTATAATCGTATCGTGTACATGTAAATAGAAATCACTAACTGATAGACAATAATATCACCAGATTAACTTACCTATGCTTCCTACCTAGTAGCAGCGCGCCTTCTTTAGATCTTTTGGAATAGAACGTTAGGATATGTGCAAATATTTCTAGTAGTGATGTAGTGAAAACTGGGACATGAGACTTGTCACCTCTAAGTAAAGCGAAAAGAATTCTGTTTTATTAATTACGAATTTGAAATTCGCCATTTGACGGAAACATGCTACTAAACGCTTCGACTATGTTCTTAAAAAACGATTTTATTCACTAACGATACCTTTAAGTAAGAATCTTGCTCTCTCTTTTTGCATAGTTTCTAACATGGAAAACAACTTTCACTTTCAAACCTAACCTTCGAAATTTGTCGAAGTATGCATGCTAATCCTGTGTATCTGTTGTGTGTTGTATGCTTGTTCTTACGTTCTAGGAAAATGAAGAATTTCGTAACAAATTCATTTTAAAATTTACGATAGGGACCTTTAACGCGTCATGTTTGGCGACGTTGTCGAAACATTCTTTAGGACCGGCCAAGGAGACAATTATTTAAAATAAAATATTCAAATCTTTTAATGTTTCAAATCTTTGCTTTAAACGACCGTAATATGAATGAATGACAATGACTGCTGGGAAAACTTAATAAAAAAGTAAAGTCTTTGCTCATTACACTGGTGGTAGGTACAAGGTTATATGAAGTTTGTGCGGATGTATGCACAAGTTTCTATCATACCGATCGATTCAAAAAGCTATTCTAAGTTTGGCTGTCTTGTATTCCAAATTTGCTATGCTGACACGCTATGTTTTGACCGAAGGACGAACGCTTTGAAAATAGATTGGATCGCAACACTTTTTCGTGATCAACACTGATCGTCACTGACAGTATGAAGCGAAGTGATGTAGGGTATTTGATGTTTGAAATTTCGTTCTTTATAATATTTTTACCTCTTCTTAACACACATAACAAGTGATTAAAGTAAATCCTAAAGTACTACTAAGTACTTACTGCGTATTTTCGATTCATTAAGCTAATCCTTTCCAATCAAAATTTCAATGGGAACAAAGCACTTCTTCTAATACATATGTATAATCGTGATCTTATCATAATTATTACAACTGCTATTCATTCATTCCGTTTTAGATGAGAAACCTGCCGCCATGCAACACTTTAATCGCACAATTATGGAGAATGATAGTGGAATAAACAGTTTCAATGCATCCGGCATAAATACAACAAGTAACTCTTCATTTTTAAGTATCGAAAATTGTTATTATCAAATTATATTACTATACGTATTCCGAGTTTATGTTAAATCAATTAGAAGATCTTTGTATTATATTCAAACGTACTTTAAAGTTTTAAATATTAATAGATGAAATTTGAAAACAATATCTTGTATTTGATAGATTAAATAAATTTACATATATTTTTATTTTACTGAAAACAAAAAAAAAAACAAAAAAAAAAAAATTAATAATAATGAATAATAACTTTATAAATTTTAATGAATCTATCATTGTCTGTCATTGCCTAAATGCACTTTCGGGTGGGCCGGAATGTTAATGCGTAAAAACAGATATCTTAATGTATGTTAAAAGCGACGCTAACGGTTTTTATCAAATTCCGACCAATTAGGACTCAATGCAGCCAAACAAAACTGACTGCATCGCGAATAGAGGCCTACGAAAATCATCGTCGAGAGTCAAAGTTTCTCGTCTTATCGAGTCTTCCAGAACCGACCGAGTCATAAAAATTATATAAAGTCCGAATAAAGTTGGAAAATAGAATGCTTAGTGTTTTAGGCAGACAATTTTCGATTGTCCTGGCCCTGTACGAATGGAATCAATGGCATGAATGATTTTTTATCTTTAACTACGCGGACTAACTAACTAGGATATGAGAGCACTTGTTATTACATGAATTAAACGACACCACCTACCCGCCTAATAACACTTGGAAAGACGCAAAGGGATCGACTGGGCTTTGCATTTATTGAAGTTGATGCATATTTCAACTTCTTCTGATCATAACGCAATAATTTCAACGCTTCTAAGCTACTTCTTACTAAGATAGATGTTGCAAACTTAGTAAACACGCGGTCGTCTAATACCATTTTTACGCGTATCTTTAACATGCTACAGGTTGCGCATTGAGGAAACCGGAGCTGGTCAGTACATTGTTTTGCTATTCGATTATAATTATAATTTCGTTTCATATTGAATTGTGTGGCCTTACCGTTGCTCGCAACGTCACTTGTTTCTACATACCTTCAATAGGACGTTAATATACTGAATTTAAGGAAGAGAGCAAGGCATCGGATCGTGGCATTGAATGTCAAGGAAGTTATAGGTCATTACTTTGTGAAGTTGGTTGTTCGCGTACATTTAATCATTTTATTGTTATCGTGATATTGAGCATTCTATTAAGAAATCTGAAATATTTGGCTCCCGTTTCTTTCCTTGCCGCGATGTAATGGGTGATCAATTTTCTTAATGATAAGATTACAAAAATTTGAATATTTTTGTCGATTGAATTCCATATTTCAAGTAAAAATTAGATGTTTTTCAAATGCGAACACTGAAGATGATATTGAAAATGCTCCATCATAAAGAAATCGAAGATTTAAAAACCGCTTCACCGAAGAAGAATTTCATTTCACATTCATCCTGCACTAAACGTGAAATGCGCTAACCATCTCTGCAGGACGTCCAAGTTTTGTTATTTGCGTTGAACGTTAAACGAAGTATCAAGTCTCTGGAGTACTCAACACCGGAGTGGTCATTGTTACTTGCTTCTCTACACCACCGAATTCTGGGCTACCAGTTAACAGACAAAGCGCTGCGATGTGGCATTTAAAGAGAGCCGAGAGTCGTTGAAGTCAAGAAATCCGAAATCGACAGAGATATTAGGATTAAAGTTGCGACAATAGTAATGAATGCAATGATATCTGGAAAAATACAATCGTATATGTGAAGTGATCTTCTGCCTACCTATTACCTACATCGGATAGCTTGTAAAAGTTTATTAAAAGAGACGAAACAAAGGAAAATTTCATTTGATTGCTGAACAAATTTTATTAACCATGTTATAAAAGAAGAATCCAATTAATCACTTGCATAATCATATCATTAATTTATGGTTTAAATCAAATACAAATTATAAAAAATCGTACTATGCAGAATTTGTATTTTTTATTTATTTATTTTTTTTTTTCTTTTTTTTATTATTCAAAAACTCGTACGAAAATGAAAATTCAAAGGGAAAAATAAATTCAATAATTTTTTCAATTTAGAAGTATGTATGTATGCAGCTTTAAAATGTTTCCCATTTATAATAGCACATTATTTGCTAACGTTTCCTTCTTCGTTAGACGAATTATTGAAATCGTTACCGCTAGATTCGCCAGAATTTACAGCTACATTAGCAACATACAATGCTGGATCAATTACTTTAGGTATTGGCTTAATTTCAGTTCCGAGTTCTTTTTCAATTCGATGCAAATCAAATCGATCCTCATATGTTATCAAATTGATAGCAATACCTTTATTGAAATAAGAAAGAAGAGAAAGAAGATAAAGAGAAATTTTTATTTGAAAAAAATTCTTTAAAATCTATTTCTATTCATTCGTAATAATGAAAGATCCTTAGAGATTTATTATTATTAGCTAATAATATATGCTAAAAGCGTAATTGTGATGTGCTTACCTAAATGACCAAATCGTCCTGAACGCCCTATGCGATGTAGATATGTTTCAGCCATCCTGGGAAAATCGAAATTGATAACTACATTCACAGCTTGAACGTCTATTCCTCGAGTAAATAGATCTGAACACACAAGATTTCTACATAATCCTTGCCTGAAATCGTGGAATACCCGATTTCTATGCCCTTGAGCCATTTTCGCATGTATATAGTAACAACAATAGCCGAGTTCAGTGATTTTCTTTGCCAGCAACTCAACGCGCTGTGTCGAATTGCAGAATATGATCGATTGATTTATTTGTAGCTTTGAGAATAAAGTATTCAAGCAATGAACTTTTTGACGCTCCTGGACAAATGCATAATATTGAGTAACGCCCTTTAAAGTTAACTCCTCCATTAAATTGATTTCATAAGGCTCACGCAAGTGTTTTTCCATAAAATTTTTAACAGTCAAAGGAAATGTCGCCGAAAACAAAAGAATCTGAGGATCCTTCGGCAATTTTAAAATAACATGATCCAGCATGCCTTGGAAATCAAGTGATAAAAGTTTATCGGCTTCATCTAAAACAAGGATTTTGCAATGTGACATATCCGCAACCTTTTTATCCATCAAATCGAGAATTCGACCTGGAGTAGCGATTATAAGTTGAACTGGAAAGATTACAAAAAAGCAAAATTTCTTTAGTTTTTTTATTGCATTTCTTTTTATCGTTTTTCGTTTTTCTCTTTTTCTTTCAATTTGCGTACTCTACAAGTAATTAAAAACGTTTTTCTTTTTTCACGACACTTACAACGAACTGAACGAGTCTGTTTTTCAAGAAATTTGTCATCTTTAGTTAGATTTCTAGAGAAATGAAGTTTCCCAGTGGAGAAGCAGAAATCGGTCTACAATGCGCTCTAGGCTAAGAGCACGCTTGTAATTAGACTTTTTATAAGATATGGGTTTAAAAGTGTTACAACAATCCTATCAAATAGGTAGAAGTTTATAATAAAATAAAATCGAATAAATCATCATCTGCGAGTATTCATTAAACACGCGATTGTTGTCAACCTAAGCAAACGTAGATCAGAGATACCCAATTTCCATCTTTATTTGATTGACTTCACAAACGTTTTATGACTAATTTACATAAACGGCAAATCGGATAGAAAGTAAGCAGCATATCCGACGCGAATTGACTTTTATCGTAGACTAACCAACGCACTTTTTAAACTGTTTAACGATCGATTTGTCTCTCGCGTGTCTCCCCAGTAGTTCTGTTTCTATCTAATGATTACCTTTTTGATATAAACGGAGTATGTCGTCTTTTAAAACCGTTCCACCGGTTGTAACCATTACTCTAATATCTAGATGTTTAGCCAACTCAATGCATATTTGAGATGTTTGCAATGCCAGTTCCCTCGTCGGAACCATTATTAAAGCTTGTATCCAATCTTTAGTAGGATCTATCTGCTCTAGAACGGGAATACAATATGCCCCAGTTTTACCAGTACCGTTTTTCGCTCGAGCTAAAACGTCTTTTCCACTTAAAGCTATGGGAATTGCAGCTTCCTGAATCGGCGAAGGTCGTTCCCAACCTTTCTCAAATATTCCCATCAGGAGTTTCCTTTTTAAACAGAATTCTTCGAATTCGTTTCCACGGGTATCAGTTACATCCTAAAATATAAATTATACATATTAGAACTTTCTTCTCCGGTACGACTTCAAAAACCGTACAATGCCATCACTTGCCGCATAAATTTGAACAAATAAATTTTTTTGAATAATATTTGCATTTTCAAAATTAAATGGATTTTAGATAAGAGTAAATATTCAAAATTGTTCGAGAGCTATTATGGTAGGTATAATAGCATTAAAAAAAAACGTTCATTTTTTTTAATCTCTTAGCAAGTGATGAACGGTTAACGGTTTTTAACAATAAATTGAAGGCATTAAAAGCTCTCAATGTGTTCCCATATTAATACGTACACTTGTTTTAAACCGATTATCTTTTGGTGGAATTTTAAGTTTGGACTTCCAGCCCATATCATCTCCGATAACTAATTGGTTTTCTTCCTTCGCGTATTGTAAACTGAAAACAAAGAGAGGAAGAAGAAACAGTAAATTATTTATGTGTATCAAAAGCATACTTAAAAGTATTCATCCGAATTTTTTGAATTTCGAAAATTCCGAAATTTAATCCGATACTTTCAAATGTTGCACTCGAAGAATTGCTTAATTCTCTCCTAATTATTAATAATAATTGTACGTTTTACTAGTACTGATTAGCTTCCACAGCTTCAGCTAGCTGAGGCTTTGCAATCGACGGACTAGAGACTAAACTCAGAAGTTTTAGTTTTTTCACACAAATGCAAACGATTTTATACTCTTCTCAAGCGCGTAACAGATACAAATTGTTCAATGCCTCCTTTTGCAGTCTCTACACTCTTACTTACTCATGCTTACTCTAGAGGACTTACTCATGAAGGAAATTCGTAAAAACGTCCTTACTTCTCTAATATGGCATATATGTCTGTGAAATCATCTTGAAAACTTTTATTTCAACGGATTAAGCAAACGGACAATTTCCTTCTTTATTTAAATTGCAAGCTTACCTAAGAGTCGACATTGAGAAGATACAGTTCTTTATAAAAGAATTATAATTATATGTAGTATACGATTTTACATTTAAAATTAACTCTTAAATATCTTTTCCTTTTTTCTTTTTTTTTTTTTTCTATATATTTTACTTTCAAAGCAACTGTTACTTTGATGAAAAATATATGAATGTCAAATATTTTTTCTTTTGTCTCTGTATCTCGTAACTTTTAACCTAAGTCGTTCATAGTAGGAATTTGCTACAAAAGAAACATTGTTTTACTTATGCCAGTACTTTATTAAAGTCTGTTAAAAAAAAAAAAAGAAAAAAGGTAGATAGATAGTCATGACGATGACTTCTTCTAAATCACTTTCTCATTGATTTAGTTTCTTAACTATTCTCATTATCATATTTTATCCATTTCTAGAAATGGAAGTATATATCTTCAATTATAGATGCCCTTTGAAACTAAGTTATTTTGAACATTTTCTATGAAAATCGCGCTTTACTTCCCGAACGCAAGAGATGGAAATGCGAGAACGTTACATCACTTTGTAGGTTTTTGGCAACAAACATAAACTACGTCATACATACTGGCTTCTACAGATTGCAATTAAATATTTAATAGATTTTTTATCGACTTAAATGAATTGATAATTGATTCAGGCAAAATCACGATACGATACCTTTTATTGTTAACCATATTTCCATGATTTGAGTTAATTTTTTCTGTCATCATATTAAAGATTCGCTCTTTTATCCTCTTTTTTATTCAAAGTGAAACCATTCAGTTTGTCCAATGTAAACTATATAGTTTTATATATTTCTTTTTCTTTTTTTTTTAAGATCTGAAAAATACAAATTGAAACTTTAGCTCGGTTTAAAATGATGATGAAAGCAAAATTCAAACAACCTAAATATTCAACATAATTGTCAGAGTATCTGATTAGCATTCAAAGGGAGCATTCAAACTTAGATGGAAAAGAAAAGAAAGTATTTACTCCAAACCTATGGTCCTATTTAATATCTTTAATGATTTATCTCTATAAAGCTCCTTTGTGCCTTTTCATTTAATAAAACATCGCTATATAAGTAAGATGGTTGTACATGCATTTACCGCTAATCCATAATTACTTTTATGTATGTATTTCAAAAATGATTTTTTTAGGTTCTCTTGTTGCTTTCTATTTCTTACAACCTTCCCTGGGTATTCAAGATCATCTATGTATCGGCTTAGATGATCACAATCAACATCACAAATTATCGGTAATTCGATTGATATGCCGTCTATGGGCCCATTCTTTACATACTAAACATTAAGTACGTGGTGTTCACCTCTGTTATTACATTTTCGGCAAATAACTGTAACAAATGACACTTTAAATGTATATTAAGTGTGTTTTGCATTCTCAGTTGCTGCAATGAGTTGTAGGTTAATTTTATAAGCATTTTTTAAATTAATAAACTTCCACAATGCTGTAATGTACTTATGAGAGATCTTCTAAAGAATTGAAAATATAAAAGCATATTTGACATAGGACACTACGTCTGGCTCAGCAAAACTTATTTGCTTTTCTTCAAAAGTACGAAAAAAAGAAACTTCTTTAACCTCCAAATGCAAATCGAAGCTTAATTGCAACTTTCGCCGGCACAAGTAAAAAGAACAAACAGAAAAAAAAAAAAAAAGAAAAAAAGAACAGTTATTACATGGCAAACTTTTGCCAATGTCCTAAGCCTATATCCTCCATTTTAGCACAAGCATCAATAAACGACAATAAGATACGGTTCATACGGTACGCGGGTAACAACTACACTTCAAACACTGTTTGCTTTGTTAAGAGCACTTTTAGCAAAATTGCAATTATCAACTTTCAATGCACTTTTTTTGCACATTTTAAATTACATCAATTGATTAACTTTTTTTCTTTACATTTTAGACACTTCACGACAAAAAAAAAAAAACCTACGTAGCCTCGGCAATAAACCACGAATGTACCAAAGCTTAATTGAAAATTACTAATTATTTACAGATTATTTAACAAATTTCACAACACTTACCCAAAAACGTAATATAATTATGTGTTAATCCTTTGCAAATTCAATATTTAAGACAAGGAATAGTTTACCTCCAAATGTGTATATTTGTAAAGTATATGACTTAAAAATCAGAAGTACCAACATATCATTCAACACACAACCTATTTTTAGTGATGCTAACTTTATGGTAAAAGAACAAATTGTAAATTTACCATGTTCCTTGTATTTTGTCATTCGAGAAAATCGCAATTCACAACAATGGTATGTTTTTCTGATGAATTGAAAAAACTTTTCATTCCATTATTTTATCTTTAGCTTATGTAAATTTCTTATATGTTAGTAGTTTTTTGTGGAATATGTGGCACGTTTTTGTAGACACTGTGGAATCGTGGCATCACATGGAATCATTGCATGATATGGAGCATTGCATATGATGTTTGGCCACATTCGAAAGCGAATGGGAGACTTGAAATTATCAAACTTCGGTGGAAATAGACACGCAAATAGATTTTATGAATGAAAAAATTCTCCTTGCCAGTGAAATAGTAATACACCAGTATTTTCGTTTTAAGACGAATCTTGGATATCAGGTCAAGGACTGATTTCTAGCATTGGCGTCCACGCTTTGTTATAAATAAAATTGATGCGTCTCCATTTTTTTATGCTGGAAATACAAAAGAGTTATGAACAATTTTTTTAAATAAATACGATAAGAACATTTTCAGTCTCTCATCTGTTAGGAACGGAGATTTACATTGATATGATCCTTTTTTACACATCTCAGCGGACTTTCAGTTGTTGATTTGCTGAATAACAGAAGAAGAAGATAATGATATGATATGTCGAATCGAATTTAAAGTCATCACTGTACATGTGTTTGAATTAAATGCATGAAATGAATATATGAAATGACGATTTTCTCAATCTCTTTTTATCAAGAATTAAACTAATGTTTATATTTGTTTTTAATAATGTTTATATTTCCCCTAGATAGCAAAAATAGATAATGAAATTTAAAACACTTCATTTCAGGTTTCAGAAAGTTTAGCAGTTTCTGTGTAATCAGATAGTAAAAAGAATTTCTCTTAAAGAGAAGTGTAAAAAAAACACTTTTGAAAAAAGGGGTGTAAAAGCGATATAGGCGGACAGTAAAGTGAACTTTATGGTATAGGTGATTTCTAAGTCAAATTGCTGTTATGCCTTAGTTCAGGCGGTGAAATACCAGAACTTAGATATCTTTTGTTATATAAGGGCTTGTTTTTCATGAGAATACTTATATGGAATGGATTAAATTGATCCACGTGATCCAATTTTGGTGCAGCAAATTTTTATATCAATGAGCTATTGATTCGTAATAGATACATTTTCCCCATGTAATCATATTAAAAATTAAACCATGCAGTCTTTACTTCATGGGAATTTTTATATGAGAGGGGGCCAAAAAAAAATAAACTTACCTGAACCAAATTTACTAAGTTAAAAATTATATCTAGTTGCTACATATTTTTCGTACGGATAAATATATTGAAGCGGTTGAAAAAACTTTTCCATTTGGTCCAAAGTTTTCCTATTAGTTTAGCTGCCGCAATGATATTACAATATATCAAGAATATTTTCAACAGCGTTCTTTGACTAAAGCATATTTTAAAGAAATAATTCGTAAAATTCGGAAATTTTTTAAAAATTTCTGTATGGTCGCATATCATGTTCTTTTTTGTTCTACGTCTAATTTGATATTTTGTTGAAATGGCAACTCTTTTACGATATTTAAGTTAGCGAAGTGAAAACGGATCAATGGCCTTTTTTCGCTCATTTCAGCAAATTTTCGGTTGTTTATTTGCTGAATACCAGAAGAAGAAGGATCAATGACCTACTCCAATTCCAATGAAATTTAAAATGAAGATTATTGCAGAAGCGTGCGAGCCGAATTTTTGTTTTGTGGACGGCTTTGCATTTAACAGAGTTGGACCTTTGTTTTCTGTTAAGTTGGGCATTTAACCATTTAACAGAGCTGCCATTTTTTGACTATTTTTTTTATTTATTACAAGCAACAGGGAATTAGCGAGAGCTATGTTTAAAAATTGTGGCGGTCTAATTTTAGGCTAACTTGTAAGATTAAATGAGTTTAGTTCGCGTATTTTCCAAAACACTAAACAATGTACAATATACAAACTTTTTACACTTTATAAAATAAATATTTTTGATAACTATAATTTTATTTAATAATTTTATTTAAAAATGTTATTTAATGACTTAAAAGTCATCTGTTGGAGCATTTTCAACCAATATAATATCGAAACAACCGTTGAGAGAGCCAGTATTTATACTAAGAAATTAAAAATTTGGAATAAAGTTTTTGTTACTAATCATGAATTCGGCTACAAAACTACAATTTTTTTTCGTTACTTTGCAACACGTTGAAGGTACAACGTGCAATTCTGTCTACGAAAGGTGCGGTGAAAGCTCCAGACTCTATCATAAATCTTCGGAAGAGAATTATGAGAAACAATATTTGAATATGGAAGGATAGTTCTACAGACAGGGTTAAAAGTGAATGAAATATTTTGAAGCAAGGTTTTGTGAAACGGCTCATGTCTTTCTTATTCGAATTTTTTACATTATCTTTACGAACTCGAAGAAGTGACTACACAGGAACAAAGATCAAAATAAGCATTTAAACGAAATATAGAAAGTATATTGTACGACCAGAAAGTATATTGTACGACCAGAAAGTATATTGTACGACCAGAAAAGTATATTGTACGATGGTCTCAAATAAATAAATAAAATCTCTAAGATTCTTCTTCCACCCCTCTCTCACTCTTCCTTTATTTCATAGAATTTCTCTTTTGGATTAAAGATTACAACCACGGAAAATTATTTGAAGCGTTTACAAAACCTACGGAAGGAACTTAATCACATTAACGAAACTGACTGGATGTACGAATCGATAGACAGGAAGAATCATTAACATTGCTTCATCATGCCGTCAGTATCACTTCATTCCAATGATAGTGATGCACAAAAAAAGAGCTATTATTTTAAATGCACCGGTAAAATATATGTTATATAGATACAATAGAGAATTAGTTTTATAAAGCTCCTCTCTTTGCAATCTAGGTATCATCACCAGCCTGAACAGCAATCATGCAACCATAAATAAGAGTATAGCCTTTGAAATAAATACTTTGTCCATTCCTAGCGAAATGAGAATAGGCTCTCGCGTCGAATATTTAGGTTATAAGGATGAAGCTACCGAGAACATTAAAATTGTTAAAATTGATCGCACCAGTGAAACTGAAAATAGTGAAAAATGCGAAAAATCATTGAAATCTAAACGATTTCTACAAAAAACCATCAGGGAATTGAGGCAGTTGGAAGAAGACAAATTATTTCAATATATAGAACGTCTGCACAATCTGCTAAACCGGAATGAAAGAAAATTAAAAAAATACAAAGCCAAGACGAAAAAATTGGTAAGTTTCAATTTAGAAATTTGCAAGGCATTCTTCAATTTTGTTCTTTAGCAAAAGCAGGTTGACGATTTTCAAAATTCGCCCACAATCATACAAAATCAAATAAAATCAACAGATCAAAGCCGTTTACTCGAACGACGAAGTGCTCTCTAATCACACAAACTTCAATATTTTGAAAATCCCCTGCGTGTTTTTGCACCTGTAAATTTAACCTAAGCAATTTGAAATATTTTTATTTAATAGAGACGAGACTTTCGTTATAAAGTTTATCAAAAACAATTTATTAACTTGGATAGTTAAACAAAATATAATTTAGTTTTTTTTTTTTTTATATTTATTAATTAAATATTGAATTGATCAATGTTAAGAGTTTTTAAAATAAATGTTAACACGTCAGCTGCTTCTTCAATTTTTTTGGACGTAGGCTTCCCAGCTCCATGTCCGGCTTTGCTATATACACGTAATAATATTGGTTTATTTTGAAATGGCGAGTTACGAACGGCAGTTTGTAGAGCGGCAGCGAATTTCAATGAGTGCAACGGACTGACGCGATCGTCATGATCGGCCGTTAAAATTAACGTTGATGGATATTCCTCCTTAGGCGTTTGAGGAGTGCGAACATTGTGAAGAGGTGAATATTTTAATAAATTTTTAAAATGCTCCTCTTCATTTGGGTTTCCGTAATCTGAACACCAAGCATGCCCAATAGTAAACTTGTGAAAACGTAACATGTCTAAAACTCTGAAAGAAATATGATGATAATTATAAGGAACTTTACTTAAGGCAATTCTTCAAAGTGAAGATGAGCATGATTGGAAAAATTATCAAAAATTATATACATGTATTGCTACATAAAGCGTTAAGCTTTCGTAACTATTAAAAACTAGATCTTATTTTTTGTCAGAACATTTCGTGGCAGGAAGGGAGATATTTAAAGAAAAGTTGTAATGCTATCCACACTTTGTATACTTGTCTTGAAAAAAGTACAAAAATTTTATTTATAACGGGCATACACATCCTGATCAGTCCATCTATCCTTGTCGGATTTGCCATAATAGTGTATATGAGAACATATTGCATGCCTCAAGATCTTCCAAATATTTCATACATCCGTACAAATTTGATTGAGGTATATATATATATATATATTGTTCGTCACCTTGATCTGTCTTTAGCTTGTTCGTTACTAGCGGATATAAAAATATTGCATTTATAAACCTAATCCTTACCCGACTTGAGCTACAGCTGCGCCAAATAAATCTGGCCTTTGATTTATACAAGCGCACACCAGCAGTCCACCATTCGATCCACCCTGAATAACCAAGCGATCTTTGGAAGTGTAGTTATTGTTAATTAAATATTCTGCGGCAGCATGGAAATCGTCAAAAACGTTTTGTTTATTTAATAGACGTCCGCTATTATGCCATTTTTCACCATATTCCCCACCGCCACGTAGATTTGGATAAGCTATAATACCGTTAAACGTTTCCATGAATAGCAAGCCTGTTAAACTAAACGTAGGTTGTATGCTGATATTAAAACCGCCATAACCATAAAGTAAACATGGACGCGGCTTCACTACATCAGCTTGTTTTTGTACTATAAACATTGGTATTTTTGTACCGTCCTTGCTGTTATAAAATATTTGCTTAACATCATAATTTGTTGGCTTAAAATCTTGCAAATTCAATTTTATTTCTCGATGTATTTTTGGTTGAAAATCTTTGCTTCTGAAGTCATAATGATAAATGGTTCCAGGATTTAGAAACGAAGAGAAATTGAAAAACACCTCCGAATATTCTTTTTTGCCTGATAATGAAACAATTGTTCCAATATCCAAATTAAATTTGCCAATTGACTTTCCATCACTTAGCGCGTTCACTTGAAGGGCGCTCTACATATTGGAGACATAAAACAAAAAAAAAAATAATAATAAAATTGAAAATATTACTGCACAACAAGAGTAAAAAAAACGAGCAAAAGTCTCATATATAAGACAAGGAGAAAAAAATTACCTTCACATCTTGAATGTAACAAAGGACAAGTTTATCATCATCCACACATTTAACCCAATCTAAAACGTCTTTTTCATGCTCCTAAAATGATATTTCGTAATTATTGTAATAAATCAATCAATCATTTAAAAATTTATGATATAACATTGAGGAGGGTAAGAGGGAAAGAAAATATGATTTTTTTTTTTTTGTGCTTTTTCAATAAATTGTACGAAAATAAAATGTCTTCTGCAAGTTTCTCATAATAATCAAGACAACACAACTTGTTATACGAACAGACTCGCAATCTTTTCGCCGTGCTATACAAATTCGTTTCGAATGATCGTCTGTTATAGAGATGCCTAGTACTTTTAAGCAATTTTATTAAGATATCTGAAATATCCGTTAGAAAGATGGCGGAGAGTACGTCCTATTGTATCCGCCATACAAGATATTGAAAAACTTGTCTCGTTTCAAAACAAACTATTCGTGGATATACAAAATTTTGATTCAAGCTTGAAAACCGACTGTATTTTGTATCTATGCTTACCGGTATCAAAGTTATCCAATTACTTTCAGAAGGGTTTTCAAAATCAATAACAATGACTCGATAATTTGGTGCATTTTTATTTGTACGTAAGTACACTTTGGATCCAATATTTGTTATATACTGCAAAGAGAAATAATAATCAATTTGTTAGTTATTACTTAAAAAAAAAAAAAAACGTTCGTAAAAAGCCCTCACATCGTAGTCTGCTTCAAATTTTTCAATAATTTTATGCATTTTTAGTTTGGAAGGCATCGTACTTGTTGTATCCAGTTCGGAATAATACAAAATATTGTCGCGGCAATCTTTTACAATCGGTATTATTAGATATTTACCGCAGTCGGATACTTCCGATTGGCTAAAATTAAAAAAAAAATTCAATTATTTATATGCAAATATTATATATATGTTCGCATAAGAACACTAAGTTTTTATTCAAATGCAAGAAAAATGAAAGAAAACCCATTAATTTTTATATTAAATTTGATATTTAGAAAATACTCCTAAAGCTGATAACTGCTGATTCAAATCGCATAATGAATAAATATGTGGGATATGTGGAATCGAGACAAGCCCCGGGCCAAACATTGCCAGCGTCAAACATTTGGAAGGCGGTAGGTACATGGAGTGAATCTTCACCAGCTAGACACTCAACTCCAAATTTGTCTATTAATTTTTGCCGCCTGCCATAACATACAACCAATGCCATGGCCACATTGGAATAACAATATTGAATAACGAATTTTAAAATTTTTTTTTAGCAAAGTTTTGAATCGTTTTAGAAGATTTTTATACTTATCAGCAAGATGTCAGCAAATATTTGTTAAATGTTTTCAGAGTAGTTGAAAAGGAATATACGCAGTCTTAGCTGACCGTCACAGATCAATTTCGAAAATAAGTGTGACATGCCCATTATAGCAACAAGAGACATTGGTTTTAAATATTAATATGTAAATTTAGCATTCAAAATTTCAATTATTAGGTTTCAGTAGGTAAAGAATTATAAAGTGCGAATTTTCTTTCTTTCTATTGTAATCCCAGTTTACTACTTTGTAGTAACGAATACCGAAATTAATCCCATTGTAGATATAATTTTCCTACTTCTGAGCATTAGTTGGGCTTGCTATGCTAACCGATGCTTTTCTATCATGTTGAAATAGATTTTTAGGCGCACCGTTGAAGGAAGGAGGTATACCATTCTTTTTCTTTTTTTCCAAAAGTGAGCTTCAGAGGCCCTATAAAGTGTATACATTCTTGATCAGCCTGAAATTCTAAGTTGATTAGGCCATGTCTGTCCGTTTATGTGATGTGCTTTTGGCATTCTCCTGGTCGAAAAGAAATTCGCTAGAAACATTGGAAGTTTTTCCATGTAGGTTGATATTGGAGATGGGCCATATTGGTCAGAGCAGTCGAGCGTAAACAGAGCGCAACTTCGTTTTTCTTAACAAAAATTTGTTGATATTTGCTCATTACTCAGAATTTATAAAAGTTAGAAGGTTGATAATTTGCACATTTGCCTTACAATACACTCTGCTCTTTTAGGCGCAAGAAAGGAAAAACCCGGCCACAAAGTTACAAGCGATTAAATTTTAATTTTTTTCACTTTTTTGAGGTTTTATGCTTACTTATCAAAAGCCTAACAAGACAGCATATTTACAACTATTTTGTACATTCCTCAAACTAAAAATGGGCTAATTCGAAAAGGAATATAGTAGACTCTGCGATGAGGATTAGTTTTTTCTTAATAATACCAGCGATATTGGCATGAAATAAAAGAACTTGGAAAGTAGAATGCGAAAAGCCAAGTGTGTTAGTTCCAGATATTTCGAAGATGAAGTGGACTAATTTTTTCCTTACAATACCGTTGATATGGATTTCACATAAAAAAGTTGGAGAGTAGTTGTTAGGTACAATTTGGCCATTTGGTTTAGAAAAAACCGATTGCTCTAACATTAAAATTTTGAGTGGACCAAGTATTTATGGATATGCCAGATTCGGCCCCAACCAAATACAACCTTCGTAATTGTTTTTATTCACGTTGATCTGTGTATAGTACTTGAGACTAATTGTTTTGCAATATAAAAACAAAAATTGTGTTCTAACGGGCGAACACATTCGTAAAGGAAAAATACCATAGTGTTAATAAATTTAACATACATGCGCCAAGTTGGTTCGTCAGGAAATTCAGCAATTAAAATATCCTCCTTTTGTGATTTGCCAACGTAATGGTAATACAGTTTCTGATTCTCGTTTTGTTTTGTTTCAGACCCATCGGTTTTTCCCTCTTGATCTAGGTAGCACTAAAAGAATGAATATATGAAAATAATTTAAAGCATGCTAGAAATTTGATAAAATTTTTTTCGAAATTTTTTTTTTCAAAATGGTTCCAGACATTGCATGAATCTTACACCATAAAAGAAGCCTTTATTATCCTTTGTCCAAGATATATCAGAGAATTTAACTTTTTCCAAGACCTCATCCACATCTTTGCCTTTTTCAACGTCGCGGACGTGAATCTTCACCCAATCGGATCCGCTCTCACTTAGCCCGTATGCCATATATTTTCCATTTTCGGAAAACGATATTTGTGATAATGCTATGGTACCATCTTCTGAAAGAGCATTTGGATCAAGAAAAACTGACGGCTCATCTGATAGAGTTTTTTGTTGATATAAAACGCTATAATGAATGCGAAACAACATAATTTATAAACAAACACATCTTAAAACAGTATGATAAAGATTTTTTGAAACTTTATATTGTACGCTTAATGAAAAACCTGTTTTCACATCTGGGCAAATACAATCATTATTCGATTGCTCAAGTCAAATATTATTTTATTCCAGGTTTCTTACTGAATTAATTTGCACAAGCTTTTCCCAAGAAGAAAACGTGACTGCGATAAAACTTAGATTGAAGGAAAAATTTTAGATCTTGCTGCAAAAATTAGCTCGTAGTTGAGACAGCCAAAAGTGACAAAAATACATTTTTGATGCATATGCTAGGGTCACTTAAAAAAATAACTGACAAAAAATTCGTTTAAATCAATTCAAGGAAATTATTACAGTAACATTTGCTGATCGAATCTCAAGAAATATTAGGAAACGTAAAACGTATTCGCATATAACGAGATTCGTATCCGCGTTTTGACCGGCAGCCTTTTTCGACGAACTGATCCTTTTTTAAGATTCCCAAAAATTTTGTTTGCGCGTTTTTTACCTCAAAGTTAATGACTGTCACACACACAATCTCAAAAACGGATTCATAAGGTATAAAGTGGGATTCATAAGCTACTGCTGGACACAAGTTAAGAAATGGACGGCTGATGGTCTTTAAAATACATACAGACGTAAAATAGCATTACATTGCACTTTCTCTCATAATCACCTTTGGTTTTGCAATCCGCTATTCTTATTAAAGTAATAATAATTTCCATGCTTCATCGGACATCCGTATTTCTCATAATTCCATAGTTTTAGTAACTTCTCATAAATGCTTTTCCTTTCGTCGCAGTCCAAAAAAGGCTGACTTATTTTATTTTCCTCATTGACAAATTGCTGAGTTTCGGCAGAATCTGG